AATTTCAACGTTTACTCGCACGATTATATTATCGTTTTTTGGGCACAAACTTGGCATAGTCACTTCTTAACTGATTTTTTTCCATAGAATATGTTTAGTTTGAGAAAACCGCAATTGAGCCATCGAATTCTACGAAATGCAGCAATCGTGAGTGAACAGCGAACCACTTTGAAATGCTTCGGCGGTAACATCGAAGAACTTTCGCAATAGTGTTATCAAAATATTATTCCCTGATTGTTTCAAACATACTTGCTGTGGCTAAGGCGCATTCAAGCTAAGCGAGAAAGTTCATCATGTATGTTCAGTGGGAGTGCATTCAAAGAAAGTGCATCTGGATCCTGTTTACACGTGGAGGAAAACCAAATAAGACATCAAAAGTAGACGAGTGGAACACTTCAAAAAAATTTCATTTGGAAGAAAAAATAATTTATAGCTAAAAAAATTTAATTTGGAAGCATCAGTTGGTCATTAAAACAAGGCCGGGCAAATACTCTATATCTCAAGATCACGCTTTGTTTTTGCGATCATTTTGTAAGAACACTGAAGCCACCAGCAGTATTTGTTCTTTGATTGATGTATAAATATTTACACGTCAATTTCACTGTTCCCATTCAGAGTGCACTTTAACATTAATGAAAAAGAATATAAAATCATTCTGTCCTTGCTAATCAATGTTGAGACGCTGCCTTTCCTTTGTTGATTGTTTTTGTGTGCATCCTTTTAATTAACCAACAACTTGCTACGACCCAAAAGCAATGAATCAGAAGCTGACACACTTTTTTGCCTGCTTCGAGAATATGATTCCCACTTCTGGTTGAGGGTAAAAAATTACTGGAAGGGACTATATGTTGGATAATGCAAAATGCAAGCAAACCAGTCAATTTTTTTGAGTCTAGACACACAAGATGAATTGAGCAGTTTCAATTTTGAGTCTTGGATCATCTGTTCGACTGGGAGCGAAATTCATTATGAATGATTGATGAGATGGAAGCGCAAAAGCAAACAATTGCAACTGAATATATGTTAATCTTCCGGATATGAAGCATTTTACGCATGACTGCTGCACATTGATAATCGTCGCTAGGCATTCAATCTCATTTCATTATGTGAAAGGTCTGATATACTCTCATCCAAAGTCTACAGAGAATTTTGCAAAAATTTCGCTATTCCTTGCGCATCAACAACTGTACCAATATTAATGAAGGAATATTCAACCCTTGTTCATCTGACCATACATAAACATACTCACACCATACATAAGTATATAGAAACTGTTCGTTTTGCTGGTGCCACTGTTGGTGATTTTGATTGGGACTGTTTGTGATGTTGACTGTGTTGCTGGTGCGAAAGCGACGATTAATTACCTGGATTACCTGGATTGGCCAGGCTATCAAACGTTTGTAACGTTGCTGGCCACAATGCTCGCGTTTCCGTTCGCACTGTTTTAGCCTTGATTGTAGCCACCCCGCTGGCTAGGCGAGCAGGCCACGACGATTAATAATTTAGTTTATCCACACAATAAATGAAGACGATAATAACGGTTCAATACAGTGAAGATGGTTGAGTGACGAGAGATGCCGATGATGGCTCATAAACAACAACAACACTGGATACACGAACAACACACTAACTGACTAATACGGAGGAACTGATATAACTACACTGAGCTACTTATATAGTCATTGAGATTGGCTGATTACGAAACAATGGTTACGAATTGCCAATGATGGTGAGAGAACACATGATATGCAAAGCACTATAGACAGACATACAAGAAACCGTAAACAATAAACAAAAGATCACCGGTTTATCACAACATGATCCTTCAGAAACCACAAACTTGTTTGAAAAAATCATTCTGCTGCAATATCCTTAACAGTAACTGCAATAACAGAAGTAATGGTGCCGTGAATTTTTCACTTTAAAAGATCAAAAAGATCCAAAATTTTGTGGTTTTGTTAATGGCTTCAATGCCTTATCAAATCATTTCATTGGGTTGTTCCATAAGCTCGTGCGCTTTATCTAAATTTTCGAAAGATTCCAAAGATTTTCTAAAAAAGCCTCCAATAGCTTTTCATTTGCAAGCATTCCATAGTGATTATGTCAAATAAAGCAAACCATGGAAATTGATAATATTAGTTGAAATGTTGAAAACAAAATGCGTTAAGCGTGGTACATATTTATTCGGCAGAAATTGCAGTCATCATAATCATACAATCAAAAATGAAAATCGATCAAAAAAATCACGAGAACTCGAGTTTGGAAAATTTTGCGCAACTCAGAAAATGTGCGTTCATACAGGTTGTTCGCATTCATAGAGCAAATTTAAGCACTTAAATGGCTAAATCGAATGAATTTCGAAGGTTCATTGCTAATTTATTTCTAGTCAGCTGAAGTGAACGATCCAGGACTCGGGAAACCACCACGAAGATTTCATTCTGATGCCTTAGAATATCATAATGAGGTATCTGGATAGAGATGTATGTTTAAATGTTTTGCACGGTTCTTTGATGATCACAACCTGAACTGTTAAGCACTCAAAAACATCGAAGTGAAGCTAATGGAACGGTAAAAATTTGTCTGCTTGGAAGCATTTGAACGATGAGCCGGGCGAGATGGGCTTTTCGCTGGAAAGGTATGCATGGAAATGGCGAGCACGACGTTGGGCTAAAAACTCAGTCTGTGACTCCAACATTTTGGATGCCTACTTCAATGGCGGTTAACTGGGTTGAAGAGGACTCTTTTGAGTTAGACGATAGAGGTTCTTCAGACGCTGATTCACTGCTTGAAACGGTCTTCGACTTCCCTTGACTTGATGCTTCAGATGCACTTTCAGGCTCATCGAAGTCCAATTCACCGATCATGGCCTGCAAATTCAGAACGTTGCTGGTGTTCAATTCACTTAAACCCGTTCAATTTATCTCAAAATACGCCATGTTTAGTATTTAAGAGATCATTAGCCGTCCGTCCGTTCGCACAAGAGGATTTTTGATCACAGACATCAAATGTTTCCTATTGCTCGTTGCTCGTTTTATATGGATCGTCGCAAAATATATTGTGTTATCTTTTTATGAAACGGCCAATATTACTTCTGTTTTGTGATCAAATCTGCTAATGCTACTTGCGACTCACCTTTAGTCCTACGATTTCGCCTTTAACGACTAGCAACTGAGGTAGATTCTTGAAATCTTGAAGAACCTGAAAATTGAAATGAATTATTTGTTCACGGTGATTGAAATAGCACCTCGTATGAACGCTTCACAAAACTGATTAAATATGCGGAACGGTCAGCTTTAATGGATCGTCTTTAATCAGTAAGTTGCAACGGCAACTGAAAAAAAANAAAAAAAAGTGTATTGAAGATATCTCTTCACCTCATAGTTTCGGCATCCGTGAACGATGAATTTCTTGAGAGCCGTATGCTGCGCAAGCTCCACAACTGTACCTCGATTGATCTTTTCGAGGTCCAATTCTCGAAGGTATATGAACTAAAATCAAAATCATTCATCATTCTTCACTAGATTGAAGTGTCGAGTTTTAAAAAAGTCAATCTCTTCTTCAAAATCATATTTTGCATTCAGAAAACGGTTTCTGCAGAATCGACATTGTTAGTTTCAACATTTCTGTGAGGATATGCATGTTGCTTTCTAAGTCTCTAGGTAAGCTGAAAACATGAGCCTCCAATAACTGCATTATTAAGTGATCAATGGAATAGCGCTTGTAGTAAGTAATGCAGAAACGTGTGAATTGAAAACCTAATAAGCATGATCAGCAGATCAGTGATGATTTTCAAACACTGAACCGTGGTGAATTCAAAAGTGATTGAACCAAATTCAACGGATAATGAATAGTGATTCTAAGCCTGTGAGTAATTCTAACCTCTAATCGTGGCATATTTTTGGCCATATATGAGAAGAAGCTGTCCGGCAAAAAGGAGTAATCAACCGGTTTATCCACTATACAAACTCGTTCAACACGATGCTCGAATTTCCTCAGCAACGTCATCAATGGTCCCTGCAATGATGAATACATATTGTTTGATCTATTTCATCGATTATCTCATTAATGAAATTTGAAAAAAAGTCGATAATTTCGCTAAGGTCCCCTCAAAAAGGGATTGAGTGAGACGGATCTAGCCCGAAGAACCTGCGTTATCGACTAGCATGTTTNGCAGTTCCGTTTCATTGCCATAAGCCTTACTAGAGATCAAATTGATCAGTTCGAAAGATTTACTGGAAAAAATGATTGATGTTGATTGCAGACTATAGCCAAACATTCGAGGTGCTTCAAAGCTGCGTGAGTCCAATGGAAATTGAAAGCGCTTTCAAACTCAAACTGAATGTGAAAAACCTCATCAGGAGAAGAAAAAATCTTCAACATCTGTTGTTTATAACGTAAAAACTGTTGTGTGCTAGCTATGTTTCCTGGTTCGAAGTAAACGGCGGATTTGCTCGAAAATCACCGAAATTGAGTGCTGGAATTAGAACCGAAAGAATTTGCTCCTTAGATTTCCTCAATTTGCTACCGATAAATGATTTCTAAGCGGTGACTTCAGAACGAAAACTGTGCGATTGAACGCAATGATTAATCATCATGGATGTCGTGTGTTTTCGACTCATTCGTCTTGCTTGTTCGGAAGTCTCCATCTCTTTTCCGCCTTTTGCTAACTGTCAAAAAAATACACGCCCGCATCATTGAACAAATAACCACGTTTAAAAATAGTAAATGATCGTATATGATCATTTAAACTTATTGTTCAAAGGAGGATAAGAGTAGGACTAGTCTCTGGTCAACGAAGTATATCATATTCTATAAGCAAATGGCCAAATAATCTCTCGAGGATGTACATAAACTGCTCGACAAAGTAGTTTAATTCACAGAAGTGGTTAATTTTGAATACAAAAGGTGCTGTTCACCAATCAGCTTCGTGCGAAATTCAATCTCATGATTTGGAATGGGCTATGAGAAAATATTCCTGTCAAGGTAGATGGTTTCATTTGGATGCTGCCTGTACCACATTCGCGCTGACTATAAAAGAACTCACTGTCAACTCACGAAATCCAAGAGTTAGCGTAAAATTTTTGGGCAATATTTCTTTTTCCGGCTTACCCATAGGCATAGGCTACAGGCAATCATCGAAGGCACGCTGAACAATAGGTAAGTTCAAGGGATGCTGATGATCGTGTGCTAACCTCATGTTCATGAAAATGACAACTGCAACAATAAATATACACCACTTGACGATTCCAGAAGATTGGTCCATCGAAACTGATATTAACGGTCATTTTCTCATGACCGCTACAGTGGTTCTTTCGGAAGATCACATAAACCCAAACAGGCTTATCCTCGTTTCGTGCGGCCATCAAACACAACTCGCGCCAGCGATGACAAACCAATTCAAGTCTGAAATTTCACATCGTTCAACAATCGCCTCGTTCTCTTCCATCTCGGATCACTTTTTTATCAGTCAATTCATAGCAATTTCTGAAGTGAAATACCGCTTATTGTTAACCATTTTGTGATATCCCCTAAAGTGAATCGCATTCGCCTATAAAATGAAAAATGATGTGTATTCAAGAGAACCGATTTCGGTGAGGTACGATCAACACTTGAGCATATACTAATTCATTTGCACGCAAAGGTGACGTTAAATGCTCAATTTATCGCGCTTCTATTACTTGTGAATGTCTATAATTTGATCCAACGATAAAGCCGCCACTCAATGCCGAAACATTCAGAACTGAAGGAAGTATCTGCATAATCGCTCGTTGTTGCCTATGATATAAACGATTCGAAAATCACCCTTTCTTTACATCAGTCAATGATGGATAGCATCACGACTGACAGCAAAACTAACAAATGAGGAACATTACTCAAAATCCTTGCTGAGAGATCCAACAAAGGAGAACAAGACGAAACGCGATGAGGAAACTTCGAATGAGAATTAGTTGGATGAAAGCGAAGGGCGGCCGCTTTCTGATGATTTGTTCACACCCAAAAGCGGGAGGGAGAATTCATTTCTCATGGATGAAAACGATACTGAAAATGGCCTATCACTCAAACGAAATGAAGCCGACCCAAAGAAATGAGATCATCAATTATGCTGACATTGTTTATCACTGCAAGTGCTCCAAAGGCGACAGTTCATAGCTCTTCAACAGCGCTATTTGAGGGGATGAAAAACCATAAAGCTCAAAAAAAAAACTGATCAATTGCTATCGCGTTTAGATCAACTGCAGTAATGAACAATATTAAGATAATATCAGAAGTGACGGATTCGTATAAGTGGATGGAACAACGGAACAACGAGTCAAATAAGAGAACTGAAATTCTGAAGATTTAGGTGAATAACTTCAACCACAAATCTAGAAGTCTGGTTGCAAGCTATTTAAATTGAGAATTTTGATGAATTCGAACTATTACGCTGATTTTGAGCATTCTTATGAATAA